TAACGAAGAGAATGCCAGCCATAGCCATGAAAACATAGGTCTCCTCTTCAAATCTTTACCCTTAATTGGACCCACAGTTGGATCCATAACATTAATAGCAAATTCATCGCTTTTTCTCCTTAAGGAGACAATTATCATCATACCTGTTGAATATCGGCCGCCTACAAGACATCAGAACCACTCTGTTACCTCGATGTTTCTTGCGCATTCGGATCCATACTGGTCTGTATTTTCCAAGAAGCGCTCATTTCGCGCTCAACAGGTACGTCATGCATTCGTATTCAGAGTAATCTAGACCTATGAGACTAAACCATGCGTAGGCCTGCAAAAATTGTCGTCTTCGAAAACAGAAGTGTGTCGAAAATCGACCCTGCTTGTTCTGTAAAGAACAGAATATCGAGTGTGAATATGCGGAGGTTCCCCCTCGAAAGTAAGTTTGCAAAGCAGGCATGTCGATCATTGATTAACAAGCAAAGGCCCGATAAATTATTTCAACTAGTCATGCAGAAGTTGAACGCTATACAGGAGAACGGTGAACAGATCGAAGCAAGCTTGAACCGCAGATTGGAACGTCTCGAAAACAGTCCGTGCGCAAATGGCACTCATTCTCCACCAGCACCCACCCATCATCCACAACAGCATCAACATCAGGATCAGCAACAACACCAGCAACAACACCAGTACCGGCGAGAGCTAAATGACTTCAATGAGCATAGAACCGCTGCTCATTACCTCTTGAAAACATGGCCAGCCATGGCAAAGTATTTCAATTCCATTGTGCCTCTCTTGGAGAATTACCCGCTTAAGATTGAAGAGGAACGGGGTAGTCTACGGATATACGGTCGGGGAGAAGGTCTGACACATAATGACCGGGCGCAGCAAGTTGGTAGTCGCGCGGGCAGCCAAGCCGACAGCGAAACTATGTCCTTGTCTTCTACGTCGGACAGCGGCCAAGCTCCCTATCGTTATATTGACAAGGTGAATCGCCTCGATCTCACGCCAACCGCGGTTAACAGACTTCTCGCGAGTTATTTAGATCACATGCATGTCTTGCATCCTTTCCTCGATAAAGCACGGCTAAAGAAACAGGTGGACGCATTTGTAGATAGAATGAACCCTCCGGCCAGTACGAAATCTCCTCTATCTATGCCTCAGCACCTTTCAGAACACCATCGACCGACGAAAAGACAGAGAACGGATATCGATGAGGGTGAGCCCACAGCCGTTCCGATCTATGCACGACCTGCACAAAGCCATGTTCGGCCTCCAAAGGCTGAAAGGACCATAACAAATGCAATCATCCTGCTTGTCCTTGCATTGGGCGCAGTTCTGCATGAAGATGCACCGATCGGAGGTGTCCTCGACCCTCGCAAGGAAATTGCCCAGTCAATCCACTCTCCTTCGACACGAATGCGGTATTCACCTGTAACCGAGGAACTCATGAACCTGGATGTTATTCCTGGGCTACACTACTATGCGTATGCATCCGAAATCCTTGGAACTATGCACGGTGGTCACGAACTTTACCATGCTCAGGCGTTTCTGCTAGCGAGCCTGTATATGAATCAACTTGGTCGTGGCTTAGAGAGCTATAGCTGGATTAATGCTGCAGCCTGGGTCATTAGGTTCAACCTTAAAATGTACCTTACTTCCTAGATGAT